ACCTGTGCAGCATATGGGACGCTGATCACGTGCTTTGGAGACAATAAACTTAGCCGAGCCTTTCTGCCACCAACCCGAGCCTGTGGGCTTTCTGGATAGCACTGTTGAGGTCTGCTGAACCGACTATCGCTGGGACAGCCTACGAAGAAAACTCACACGTTCGCCAACTGACAACACACAGAGCCCCTCGCACGCTGACCGCTTCCTCCCAGAGAGATCAGGCTGAAGTCACCAAACAGCCCCCCAAAATACCCTGCAGAGCCTGGACACCCCAGAGTTGGGGTACGTCTACACTACCCGCCGGATTGGCGGGTAGTGATCAATCTATCGGGGATTGATTTATCGCGTCTCGTCTAGACACGATAAATCGATCCCCGCACGCGCTCCCCATCGAATCTGGAACTCCACCGCTGCGAGAGGCGGAAGCGGAGTCGACGGGGGAGCGGCAGCCGTCGATCCTGCGCCGCGAGGACGCGAAGTCAGTCAGTCTAAGTCGATCTAAGATACGTCGACTTCAGCTACGCTATTCTCGTAGCTGAAGTTGCGTATCTTAGATCAATCCACCCCGGTGTAGACCAGGTCTTGGACACAAAGTCTGGAGGTTGTGTCCCTTGCTGAGGACTAGGCACCCAGCTCCTCCTCTCCCAGCAGAGCCCTGGCTGACTGCTGCTTTCCCACAGGACACAGCAGCTGCTGTATTTGGAACACTCGCTTGCTGGCTGGCACCCCATTCTACATGGAGCAAGCTGGCATGGACAGATGCCCAGCCTGGGCACCCCCGCCTCCCCACCCATCACCTTTTAAATGAGGTCACTGGTCAACACAGAGGTCACTGAAATCAGGGAAGGGCACAAGCTACCACATCGCACTGAATCCAGCATGGCACTCCGGCCCAGACCGTCCCTTCACTATGGCGATTCCTCCAGGGCTTTGTCCCGTTCCGATACAATTTCCATCCTTTCCTGGGGTTGAGATCCTGTTATCCAGGAAACTTCTCCCTGATACTCACCCCTTGCTTTGCTTCATCCCCTTGTATCGCAGTAACGTTCTCTGCCATGAATGCGACTAGGTCATTATGTACCACGTCCCCCCACCTGTGGTCATTTGGCCAAACTAGGCAAGTTTCCCTCTCTCGGCCTTTCCCTATAAATCCGTTCCCGTCCAGCCCCTTGACCGTTTGTTTGCTTTTCTCTGAAATCACTGCAATCTTATTGACACCCTCTTAGCACTGACGCCTCCAGACATTAATACCGTATATTTTAAAGGGCTGTGAAGGAAGCCCCCTAGTGGCCGATTCATTGCAAGTCACAAACCAGAAGTTTTATCAAACCAAAAATAGGAACTTGATTAAGATGACTTTAGCAAAGCTTTTGATACGGTCTCCCACAGTGTTCTTGCCAGCAAATTAAAGAAGCATGGCTTGGATGAATGGACTATAAGGTGGATAGAAAGCTGGCTAGATTGTCGGGCTCAACGGGTAGTGATCAATGGCTCGATGTCTAGTTGGCAGCCGGTATCAAGTGGAGTGCCCCAGGGGTCGGTCCTGGGGCCGGTTTTGTTCAACATCTTTATTAGTGATCTGGATGATGGGATGAATTGCACCCTCAGCAAGTTCGCAGATGACACTAAGCTGGGGGGAGAGGTAGATATACTGGAGGGTAGGGATAGGGTCCAGAATGACAAATTGGAGGATTGGGCCAAAAGAAATTGGATGAGGTTCAACAAGGACATGTGCAGAGTCCTGTACTTAGGAAGGAAGAATCCCATGAACCACTACAGGCTGGGGACCGACTGGCTAAGCAGCAGTTCTGCAGAAAAGGTCCTGGGGATTACAGTGGACAAGAAGCTGGATATGAGTCAGCAGTGTGCCCTTGTTGCCAAGAAGGCCAACAGCACATTGGGCTGTATTACTAGGAGCATTGCCAGCAGATTGAGGGAAGTGATTATTCCCCTCTATTTGGCACTGGTGAGGCCACACTTGGAGTATTGTGTCCAGTTTTGGTTCCCCCACTACAGAAGGGATGTGGACAAACTGGAGAGAGACAAGCGGAGGGCAACGAAAATGATTAGGGGGCTGGGGCACATGACTTATGAGGAGAAGCTGAGGGAACTGGGGTTATTAAGTCTGCAGAAGAGAAGAATGAGGGGGGATTTGATAGCAGACTTCAACTACCTGAAGGGGGGTTCCAAAGAGGATAGAGCTTGTCTGTTCTCAGTGGTGGCAGATGACAGAACAAGGAGCAATGGTCTCAAGTTGCAGTGGGGGAGGTCTAGGCTGGATATTAGGAAACACTATTCCACTAGGAGGGTGGTGAAGCACTGGAATGGGTTACCCAGGGAGGTGGTGGAATCTCCAACCTTAGAGGTTTTTAAGGCCCGGCTTGACAAAGCCCTGGCTGGGATGATTTAGTTGGTGTTGGTCCTACTTTGAGCAGGGGATTGGACTAGATGACCTCCTGAGGTCTCTTCCAATCCTAATATTCTATGATTCTATAATACCTCTCTCTTGTACAGCACTTTTTATCCCTAGATCTCAAAGCGTTTCCCAATACTTAGTGTACATACTCCCACAACACCCCAATGCGGCAAAGCCCGGAGAGGCAAAGTGACTTTCCAAGGTTACACAGGGAGACTGTGGCAGCACAGAGAACTAGGCCGGCGTCTCTACAGTCCTAAACTAGAGTGCCACGATCACTGTGCCATCCTTCCTCTACACACGTTTAACTTCGACCATTAGAGCAACTCCACGGAACTCAAGGGGACCAGTCACAACGCGTGGAACTTTGTGTGTGCAGTTTAGGGGCTTCACTTCTAGTAAAGACATACCTGATCACGTGATCTCACCAGACGCTAAGCCAGGTGATCGCTTCTAGATAGATATACTTCTCTATTGCTGCTCTCCATACGTCGGTTAGACACAAGTCAAAGCATTTTTTAGAAGTGTTATCAGCAAGAGCCAAATCGCTGACTGATGGGGAAGAACCTTCTGCTCTGATCAGTTAATTCCACCATTGCATCTTCCTCTGAAGCAGCTGGTACTGAGCACTGGGGAGAGATGGGAAACTGGAACTACCCCCCATTGGGTCTGATCCCGTTTGGCATATCCACTGTTCCTAGAGTCAGTGGCGGTGACAGGGTTTGTTTAAGTTCCAGGATGGGAAGCACAGACTTCCTCATAGTCCTCCATCCTGCCCCGGAGAGATCATATCTAGAGGTAAGAGCAGTACCTGGGGTTGGGGAAATGACTTCCAGTCTCCCCCTGAAGGGCTGCCTGCAGAGAGGAGGGTTACAGTGATAAAGAAATGGCTGACGAAGAGCAAGGAAGAAAGGAGGCTATCTCCTGCTGAAAAGCTCTCAAAGCTGAGGAGATGGGGTCTCTTCAGCACAAGGCCAGCCACACACTCCCGTGGACAGAAATTCAGGGCTAAGGACAAGTGGCCTTAAAGAGCTCACACACATGGCCTATTCCAAGAGGGCCGTGTTTGCTCTCAGACTGGACATTAACCCCTCCAAATACAGAAAGAGGGAAGTTAAGCAAAGCAACAATTGAGTTAAAGTATTTCTTCAGGCGGCTCCCAGCTGGCAGGGCACAGCCAGTCTCTTCCTGTTTATGCCAAAGAAACAGGCCAGGCGGCTTCTGAAGCATTCAGAACCAAGCCACAAGGTGGGAACCTATAGGAACCAGTGCCCTATTTGTGACGCCCATCCGCAATGTCTTCCCTCTCCCGCCAGTCGCTTCCTCCAATAATTTATTTCATCTCACTCATTATTAAGCTCAGCTCCACAAATCCTCCCCTGAGAGAATATGCCCTCTGATGCATCAGATGGTACTGCCCTCACCTCAGGACTTGTCTACACATGAAAGTCACTCTGGAATTAGGTAGGGTGTGAATTTAAAGCAGAACAGCCATTCAGGAATAACTCCACGTGTGCACGCTCTTATCCAAGAACAAGAGGGCCTTTCTCCGGTTTGGCTTAATCCATTTCCAAACCAGACTAAGCTAATTTGGAAAAAGTCACTCTTATTCCAGAATAAAAACTTGTCTACATAAGATACTTTGGAATAAGGTAGGTGATTCTCCATCACCAACCATGTTTAAATCAAGACGGGATGGGTTTACATAAGAACAGCCACACTGGGTCAGACCAAAGGTCCATCTAGGCCCGTATCCTGTCTTCCGATGGTGGCCAATGCCAGGTTTCTAGGAGACCCGCTCTGGGAATTATCTGGGGCAGTTCTCTGGCCTCTGCTGTACGAGGGGTCAGACTAGATGATCTGGTCCCTGCTGGCCTTGAAATCCATGACTTGAACGCAGGAGCCCCGAGTCCCACTCCCCTTCTCTAGCCACTAAACTAGGCTGCCTCAGGCGACCTACCATCTTCTCTGCTCCCCACAGAGGACTCTCTCTCTGGTAGCCCCCCCCCCAACAGCTGGCAGGCCCTGCCCACCGTCATCCCTCCCACTCGCCCCTTGGTTCCCCATTTAGCTGCCCCTTCCCTAACCCCGCCCTACAATGGCTCCCTGGGTGCCAGCCCCCTCCCCGCTAGGACTCTCCCCAATGGCTCCCTATCTGGCAGCCCCTCCCCCCCCAGACTGCCCCAATGGCTCCCCATCTGGCAGCCCCCCTCCCCCCGCCGGCTTTCGTCTCCATTGGCTCCATATCTGGCAGCCCCTTCCCCCCTCCGCTTCCCCCATTGGCTCCACATCTGGCAGCCCCTCCCCCAATGGTTCCATATCAGACAGCCCCTCCCCGCTATGACTCTGCTCTATGGCTCCATATCTGGCAGCCCTTCCCCCCCACCGGCTCCCGCCAATGGCTCCCCATCTGGCAGCCCCCGCTTCCCGCCAGTGGCTCCATATCTGGCAGCCCCTCCCCCCCGGCTCCCACCAATGGCTCCACATCTGGCAGCTCCCCCGCCGGCTTTCCCCCGCCATTGGCTCCATATCTGGCAGCCCCTCCCGGCTCCCCCAATAGCTCCTTATCTGGCAGCTCCGCTACCTTTGAAGTACTCGTTGGCCTGGCTCTTGAGGGCCTCCGCCCGCTCCAGCGCCCCCGCCTCCCCCTCCCGGGGGGGCCGCCCGAGGCCGCCGTTCTGCTCCGCCCGCTCTCCCTCCGCCATCGCCGGGCCGTAAAGCGACCCTGGCAACCGCGCGCACCCAACCGCCCCGCCGAGCGCTGCCGCAAACAGCAACGCGAGGGGGGGAGGTGTCGCAAACACGCGCACGCGCGCTGAGGCGCCGGGACCCTCTGACGGCGAGGGGGCGGGGCTCGGAGCTCGGCCATAGAGAGGCGGGGGAGCGAGGGAAGGGCGACTCCGCACCATAGAGTCCAGGGAAGGGGGGCTAGAGTGGCCATGCCCCAAGGCTCCATTGGGCAGCGCCCGGTGGGACGTGATTGGGCATCACCTGGGCCGGGGGAGGGGCATAATTGGGCAGCATCCGGGGGAGGAGGCGTGATTGGGCGGCATCATGGGGGAATATGATTGGATGGCACCAGGGGGGGCATGATTGGGTGGCACCCGGGGGAGGAGGCATGAATGGGTGGCATCATGGGGGCACATGATTGGATGGCACTGGGGTGGGCATGATTGGGCAGCATCCAGGGGAGGAGGCATGAATGCGTGGCATCATGGGGGCACATGATTGGATGGCTCTGGGGTGGGCATGATTGGGTAGCACCCGGGGGAGGAGGCGTGATTGGGCGGCATCATGGGGGCACATGATTGGATGGCACCAAGGGGGCATGATTGGGCAGCACCCGGGGGAGGAGGTGTGATTGGGCGGCATTGAGGGCTTAGGCCAAGACATGGCATGGTTATGACTGGGCGGCACCAAAGGAAAATCTCTGAGCCAACATGGGAGGTGTCCGCTCTCACCGAGTCCCATCATGGGACGCATGGGCCACAGGACCTCAGCAGGTGCAGAGAGATCCAGCGTGCGGCCCCATCCCAAAGCACCTGGCTTTGATGAGTGCCATGGGCTCTGAGCTGATGCAGAGTGGGGCTTGGGGCTGTCGTCCCCTGAATGAGCCTCCCAACCTGAGAGCTCTGCTGAGGACGTGTGGCCGTGCTGAATACTGCAAGCCCCCATCTGATGCACGGGATGATTCCCCCACAGCATCTATTGTGGAGTAATAATAATATCATCCCCAGCTCTTATCTAGTGCTTTTCACGGGTACATCTCAAAGCACTTTGCAGAGGAGGTCAGTATCATCATCCCTATTTTACATATGGGGAAACTGAGGCACAGAGCGAGGAAGTGATTCACCCAGGATCACCCATCAGTGGAGCCAGGGACAGAATCCAAGTGCCCTGAGTCTCAGTCCAGTGCTCAACGTGCTAGGCCACACTGCCAAATATCACTGGAGCTGCCCCTGGGGCTCTGAACACAGACGTTAGGCTATTTCCATGATCATCTAGACCAGGGGTAGGCAACCTATGGCACACGTGCCAAAGGCGGCACGCGAGCTGATTTTCAGTGGCACTGACACTGCCTGGGTCCTGGCTACCGGTCGGGGGGCTCTGCATTTTAATTTAATTTTAAATGAAGCTTCTTAAACATTTTAAAAACTTGTTTACTTTATATACAACAATAGTTTAGTTCTATATTATAGATTTATAGAAAGAGACTTTCTAAAAACCTTAAAATGTATTACTGGCACGGGAAACCTTAAATTAGAGTGAATAAATGAAGACTCGGCACACCACTTCTGAAAGGTTGCTGACCCCTGATCTAGACCCACCCAATCATTAGGTGCTCAGGGTAAACCTGCATCTTGACCCACCTCCCCAGGAAGTTCTCCAAGGGGAGCGTTTTCAACAGCATGGGTCATTTGGGAACCATCTAGGGAGCTGAGAACCCAGAACTGGTGGTTAGCCATGGTCATGCTGTGCGAGGGCCCAAGAGAGGGGTGCAGGGCCAGTGGGTCTGGCAGCTGCTCCTCATTAACTTCTCTGTGGCTCATGCATCCTGAAAACCGTGCACAGAGCTAGGGGCCTTTATGCTCGTTTGAGGGTAGAGGTCTGGTCTACGCTACAGAATTAGGTCGACGCAAGGCAGCTTTAGTTGACCTAACTAGGGAAGTGTCTACACTAAAATTTTGCTCCCGCCGATGTAACTACCCCGCCACACTGACTTAATAACTCCACCTCCAGGGGCAACGTAATAAAAGGTCGATGCAGTGTCAGTGTAAAGGGCAAGCAACAAGGGGGACGGAGTGGAGAGGAGCAAGCAGAGGGTGGGGTTTGGGGGGGAGAGGCGGAACGGGGGCGGGTCTTTGGGGGAAGAGGCAGCGTGAGGGCGGGGCCTTGGAGAGAAAGGGTGGCGGGGCATTGGGGGAATGGGCAGCATGAGGGCGGGGGCTCGGGGAGAAGAGCAGGGCCTTGGGAGAAGGGGCGGTGCATGGGGCAGGGCCACGGGCGCCAACTTTCCTTGGTGCCGGTGGGAGCTTGTGCCCCCCCACCCCCTGCCCTGCCCTGCCCTGCCCTGACTCTGCCCCTATTGGACCCCTCCCCAAATCACTGCCTCTTGAAAAGAAAAGAAAAGAAAAATATGGAGATATCCTACCTCCTAGAACTGGAAGGGACCTTGAAAGGTCATTGAGTCCAGCCCCCTGCCTTCACTAGCAGGACCAAGTACTGATTTTGCCCCAGATCCCTAAGTGGCCCCCTCAAGGATTGAATTCACAACCCTGGGTTTAGCAGGCCAATGCTCAAACCACTGAGCTATCCCTCCCAGCGCTTGCTGCGAGAAACAGCTGTTTCGCGGCGCAAGCGCTGGGAGGGAGGGGAGAGAAGCAGAACGTGGCGGCACGCTCAGGGGAGGAGGTAGAGGCGGAGGTGAGCTGGGGCGGGGAGCTGCCGGTGGGTGCAGAGCACCCACCAATTTTTCCCTGTGGGTGCTCCACCCCCGGAGCACCCACGGAGTCAGCGCCTATGGGCTGGGCCTCGGTTCGGGCACCAGTGGCCCCCCACTTTTAGGAAGCTTCCACCACTCCTAGTACAGCTGTGTCGTGGTAGCCCCTGTGCCAATGGGAGGGGTTCTCCCTCCCTGAGGGACATAGCTATCCCAATATACGTTTCTAGTGTAGACGGGGCCAGATTCCCAGCGGCACTGCTGTTCAGGGAACAGAAAGCATTTCTGGGGAGGAGCTGGTAAGCACGGTTTCTTTCGTAATGCGAACGTGCCGAATCTGAAAACGATGCGTGCCACGTTGAATGGAAACCGCAAATTGGCTACCGCTTGGAAAATAAACAGCCAGTAAAGGGGAAGTACTCCGTGTGGAATAAGATCCCCACTTGGCATGCTGCGCTATCAGCAAACGCAGGGTGTGGTCTCTGTTGAAGATCATTCGCTTGAGTTGTGTTGGTGTTTGTGGGGCATCAGGGCCCGCCGCAGAGCTAGTCCCCAGGTAGCCTCATCAGACGCAGCTGGCCAGCAGCAGGCTGCCTGATTGGCCACGCCACCAGATTGGCCACAAGCAGCCAGCAGGCTGGCTCTTAAGCCAGCAGCCTCTTGGTGGCTTCTTAATGCTCCTGTCCACCCCTGTGCCCACTCCTGTGTGACCGGGTTGCTGCTGCCCCGGCCTTGCACCCAGCCTGGCCTCTGTCCTGCCCCTGCCTTGAACCCCTGGTTGCCGGCTACCCTGCTCGCTCCAGTTCTTGCCCTCCGGTTCGACCCTTATATCTGGATCCTGGATAGTGACTCTGACTCTGACCTCAACCCCAGAGAAAGAGAATTCAGCGCTGGGGACGGACAGGGCCCTGGGGGATTCTGGGTAACCGGGAATGAGGCGCTGGGGACGGGCAGGGCCCTGGAGGATTCTGGGTAACAGGGAATGTGGCGCTGGGGATGGACAGGGCCCTGGGGGATTCTGGGAAACAGTGAATGGGGCACTGGGGATGGGCAGGGCCCTGGGGGATTCTGGGTAACGGAATGGGGTGCTGGGGACGGACAGGGCTCTGGGGGATTCTGGGTAACAGGGAATGGGGCGCTGGGGACAGGCAGGGCCCTGGGGGATTCTGGGAAACAGGGAATGGGGCACTAGGGCTTGGCAGGGGGGTGGGACCTAGCATGAGTCTGTCTCAGAGCTGTGATTGGAACCCAGGAGTCCGGGTGCTTGCACCACTGCACCGCGCTTTCCTGATGCTGCGCACAGACTCCCCTGCAGGCTAGGCGGGCTCTACTCTGCCCTGGGCCCCCTGTTGTTCCCGGTGTCCTCAACACAACCCCTCCCTGCCCCCCCCCCCCCACGCCACGCAAGCACCTCTGCCCTGTGACGGGATGTCAGCGCAGCATCCCACCTGTCCTGGCCCCACAGCGTTCCATCCTGGGCCAGAACCAGGGCCTGGAGACGGGTGCGTTTGTACGAACCCACTTGGAAAAGCCAGCGCTAGGGGGTGAAAGGAAAGAATTGGTACAGGGAGAGAGATGGGGGGCGGGAAGAGAGGCGTTTTCAGTGGCTGTTGCTGGATTTGAACACCAGGTGCTGCTAAGTGTCCGCCAGCCAGGGCTCAGCCCTTCTGTAGGGTCCAGTAGAAGCCACTTCCACCAGAGGGCGTCTGTGCCTGAGGCGTGCAGGGCAGAGTGTGAGCATGGGTGTGATGGAGTGTGTGTGAGATCATGGGAGGCGGTTTGTGTGTATGTGCGTGTGAGAAAGTATGCATGTGATTGTGCGTGAAAGAGCGTGGGTGTGATTGTGTGTGACAGCTTGTGTGTCTGTGTGATGGAGTGTGCTCGTGTATGTGTGTGAGTTACAGCAGGTGCGTGATCGAGCGTGTGCATGTGTGATTGTGCATGAAAGAGCATGGGTCTGATTGTGTGTGACAATTTGTGTGTCTGTGTGATGGAGTGTGCTCGTGTATGTGTGTGAGATACAACAGGTGCATGATCGAGCGTGTGCATGTGCGATTGTGCATGAAAGAGCATGGGTCTGATTGTGTGTGACACCTTGTGTGTCTGTGTGATGGGGTCTGATTCTGAGTGACAGCTTGCGTGTCTGTGATGGGGTCTGATTGTGTGTGACAGCTTGTG